TTGCCCAGGGATCAAGATGACATTGTTGAAGAGCGAGTGGTTACGCCAATACTTAGTCAAAGCAACTCTCTGGAGAATATTTATGTCAAGTCATTAGATTCTAAAGTTAACGATGATGGAACTGAAAACTTAACGGATGATGAAAGGCCAATACCAACCGGGGGGAATGGCGATGTTGGCAGGCCAAGAGCAGAGTCTTCGTCCCAAGGAGCTCTTCATGCAGCCACTCAACGAGTTTTCTTACACATTGTCGAGTTCGGTGAAGAGCCCGAAGAGGCACTTGATGACACCAAACATGAAAGTTTGATCGAAAATGTTTGCAGTCCTCTATGCAGCGCCCTTTGGAACATGTTATCAATCGGCGTGCGAAAAAAGTTTATTGGGAAATACACATTGTGGAACATAGTTGAAGAATTGAAGGACATTTCAGGCGATGTAGAATTGGCAGTGAACTGGGTAAATAACAGATGTGCGCGTCTAAGTGATGAGCAAAAATTCCAAGCGTTCGTTTGTGAATGTCTCAACATCGGACGTGGTACTTTGAATCAATGGCTGGAAGAATTCATTAGACAAAACAAGACTAGAGGTGATGGAAAAATAGGAAAAAAGTTCTACAGTCAAAGCGGTATAGTTTTTCAGCTCTCTGGTAAAACGCTCGAAGAACTAGTGTTGGATTTATCACGAATTAGCGGTCTACCTTTCAAAATTAATGTAGAAAGGTGGATCAAGACAAAGGGCACTAGCCTTCATGAGACACCTTTTACATTTGAATGACACTGTTTTGTTTTGTTTTGTTTTGTCTTTTTGGGGGGGAGGGTGGGAAAAAGGTTACTTATTTTTAAATACTGAGATTTTACACTGACATACTATCGTTCGTGTCTTTGACCAGATGAACCATGTATTTTCACAATTATTGGCTTCCGATCTTTGAATTAAAATGTGAAAAATCTCAATATGTATGAAAGAAAAACATCATACTATAGAAAGTGTTTGAGCGATTTGTATTCACTCGTTGCAATGCATAAAAGACTCACACGTCTTTTTTTTTTTTTTTTGATGCATCGCAACTTGTGAATTAAAATTATTCCTGCGCACTTTCCATGGAATAATCTCTTCTATCCTCGAATTAAAAGCCTGTATATTTTATAGTGCTCGAAACATTAACTTTAATATTACTTTTCAGCCAATGTTTTAAAATAGTTATGGTCATAAAAAACAAAAATGGTTTACTTCATGAAAACGGAAACATTCATTTCATATGTATGTAATTCAGCGTTCTTTGTTATATTTTGAAAACTTTTCATGAGTTCATTCCTCTAAAAACTTTTTGCAGGTTTTGTCACTGTGTACTTCAATCACTGAAATAAAAGAAAACGAAAGATGTCTTGTATTGTGAACGGAATAATTGTGCAATTGTATAAATTCTCCATCTAAAAACTCTCTGTATATTGTGTAAATGTTTATTCGTAAATTTCGATTATAGTGTAAACAACTGCAGGGAAAATGCCGTATTGTAAGGCGTTTGCAATCAAGAGGTGTATGGCGTTGCAATGATGGATTTTCATTGTAAATTGTATGTTATCTACACCTGTCATGGCTCTGTCATGGACTAAATGAAGCGTTCATCAGATGCTCTTGTAATTCATAAGCTCAGTCGTGTGTCTGGACTAGTTTTTGTTACAGCTGGACTTTGCTGCGAGTCAATTTAAAACGTTGATTCATAAGCCTTAGAACTACTACAGACCCATTCAATTTGGTAAAGTATATTTGACACGTACCCCAGTACCTCAAGTAGTCGCTATTGCATGCTTTAGGTTTGAACGCACACATATGTCTAATTTTGCGGCATAGAGGTTTATGGACCAATATCATTTTAACCCTCTACACCCTAACATCAGTATGCATATTCTCTATACTCCTCTTTATGCATTCCTAAGGTGCTGAAAAGGAGAATTTATTTACCAATCACTAGCTTTAGATCATTATTTCCCATATTCTCGTGAACTCAATGTGTGATTTAGGGGTGATATTGTGGGGAGAAATGAAATGCTAGTCCCTCTAAGGGGTCTTAGGGTTAAACTGACTTGGCTTCTTAAGTTGTTTTCTGCGAATTTCCTTTCGGCACTTTGTGGTTAATCTTGAAGATCTTTTAGGCCCCTCATCATCACAAACACATTTCCGTTATGATCTTTCAGTTTTTGTGACATTGCTTTTTGGATAAACTGGCTCACCAGCGTTTCTAACTGTTTGGCCTGTTTTTCTTCTAATGCCGTCGTAGCATCTGGGAAACCATTGGTCTTATAACTTTGCCACCAGGCCATCCCAATGTCTTTCTCGTCGCCATGCCAACTGTCTAGCACTTGTTGTATGTCATATTCGAGTTCGATTCGAAAGCACAGGCTAACAGGACAGGTCGATAAAAGATGGATAACAGATGAATTTCGAGAGGAGAAAACTCCTCCACAAGAACAAAGCGCTCGTTCCTTGCGACTGACTTGTTTTAAGAAGGGGTCGCTGTGTGTTCCTGATATTCTTTGATCCGCTAATTCGTTAGTTGTGTAATCAGCAAAGTATCTTTTGTTTTCCAATGGTGATGAATGAATCGGAGCTTTACAGCCGGAATTTCGTCGACAATCTTGTGTCTTATTCATTGTACTGAATTTACGCGGTTCCCCTTGAAAAGAAATTTGTGTTTCGTATTTGATTTTATCCTCGGTCAGCATGGCTTCGGGAGTTTCACATTCGTTATTAATGTACAGTTCAACCTCATCTTCCAGAATTCGTTGAAGTCCCGAAGGAAAATCGGAGTGTTCGCACGTTGCATCTTTTTCTGTAACATAAATAGCTTGACTCGAATATTCGTCGCCGCAATCTTCATTTGAGACAACACTTTGATCAGACTTTTTTTCTAAGCTCTGTAAGGTAGAATCTGATCCAACGGACTGGTAATCATTGATGTTACAGGTAGTTTTCCTGGTCCATTCAAGCGTCAACGAGTGTGTTTCTAAAGTACTCTTCAGTTGCCAACTTTTGAGGTGTCCTTGACTGTTAATGTTGTGTATGAGGTTTATCAATACCGGCGGTAATGTGATTTCTTCCATAACACAAAGTTACATCTCCTTAAAAATTAAGCTAGAAAGTGAGGATCCTTTCTCTATTAAGATCTTGATTGAGTAGAAGAAAATCAATCTTAGAATTACCTGTGAGTCAATTCTCAATGATAACATTATTGTTTCGAATGCTTAGCTTCGCCCCGAGAAACAAAATTTGATAAACGCATAAATAATGCACGATCTTTTTCGTGCAATTATGTTTATGATTGGACGAAGATAAAACAGACCGCATGAAACAGGTGAAAAAAGAATGGATTTTCTAGAAAGAAAACCACACGAAATCAAAACGCGAATCAAAAGCCGCTGTATTTTCAGGACAAAATTTTTCTGTGTGAAAAACGAGAAACGAGCTTGAGAAACAAAACCATCCTTACGGTTAACTGTAGGGATGTGTTCGAATCAGTTCGTTACTCATTCCTGGCAGATTAGCATGATGTATTTCACATGCTGATTGAATATTTTTGTTCAATGTTATTTAATTTCAAGTATGAACTAAACGTTCTAGAAATTCTCCCTTCTAGCTAACAAAATTTTCTTGGTAATTAAATACAAGAATTTGGTGTTAGACCAAGACAACAATTTCTACCTGATAAGTTTGAGTATTCTCGTTACCCGCTTGTTGGATTTATAATGTATGGATAGAGAGAAGTTATAGGGTAATCACTTCTGGGCGATAAATGGTTAAAGGAGTATGTCTGATTGTATCGTATGAACTTGAAGAACAGCGGTGTGACCAGGCCAGACCAACCTTTTCAAAATTTCGAGCGCTGATCACGCTTTAACTTATGCGCACAAGGGATGCGCAATGTAATAGGAAGGACTGAGAATGAATATAAGGATGACTCCTGTCTAGACTAATGATATTAGACAACGAATATTACATGGATCAACAGAGATATACTCAGGCAAATCAGTTCAACGTCACAAAGAATTAAAAAAATGGGATATATCTACTCGAAATTTCCGTGGTCAAATGGTTTTTAGAATAGTAATTTTCACTCCATTTATCATGTTTTTAGTTTCCACACATTGGATTAATTTCTCTTGACAAATAAGCAGTAAGTGTAGGCGGTCAGCTGTTGAAATGCTGAAAAGATTCAGTCAAACGTTTAGTGCAGTTGCTCACTAGGAACCAAAATTAGTTGAACACCCTCGGGAGAAGAAAAAAAGTTTCCGAAGTAGAAGTGTCTTCAAAGAGGACCTCCATTGACGTAAGAAAATAAAATAAGAATGCGATTTCCACAATTACTTTTAAGATGAATGGAATCTTCTGGATCACTGGTGGACCAAAGAAGTGCTACTTATTGTCTGATTTCTGCCGAGGAGCTGCAGGGTTTTTTTTTATTTTCCTTCTTCCAAGTATCATGTGTTTACAGGTGAGGCAACCAACGTCTGCAATTCAATCTGCACACTCGCTCTCTAACCTCCTTACTTTATGTTAAAGTTTATTTATTTACTTTCACTGAATACAAAGAAAATAAGTAGAAACCATAGCGAGTGACGAAATGGCGTACTTGCGAAAGATACTGCATAAAGATTCGGCGAGTAACAATCCCACCAGAACAAGTTCGAAGGGGGTGAAAGCCCAAATAACGGGGATGAAGATTTAAAAAACTCTTTTTCGTGTGGTTTCCCCTTCGGAAATCCGTTATTCACTTATCATTACATCAAACCAGTGTTCAATTCGACGAAATACAAGAGGAACATGCCTTAAATTACGACCACTTCGCTTTTTCGATACCTTCGTTTGGTCATAAAATAATAATTTAAAAGGGCGTGCATTTTACAATTCTTACACTATTTAGTCTAATAAACAAGACCTTAGACAAACAGAGGAAAGAAGGTCTTTAAAGAGGCCTGTTTGATATGATACATCGTGTGAGTTAATCAGTTTCCGCAGCATTTCCACAATGCCACCATACTCCATTCATTATTGCCAGCGGCCATAACGTGTACGCCTGACGCGGAAACTAAAATGAGTCAAATGATCTGTGATTGGTAAGAGTAACAAGTCAAAGAACGAGCAGAACACTTTCAAGAGGACGTTGGTAATTCTTGTTTTCATAAGAGCGCCGGATCGTCCGAATTAATCATTTCGAAAATTGGTTGCGAATTGGAACGATCCAGGCGCTCATATGGAAGCAGGCATTGGATTTGTTCATCATTTCGTGGGACTTCGTATAACTTGGGAAAGATAGGCTTAATTTTGTAAAGCAGTATCTTATTTTCTTTAAATTGAATGACACTCTCGTTAACTTAGTTTTCCTTAATGGGAGGCTAGGAAAACGGAACACAGGAGAGGCTTCAAAGTTGTGAAACGTGGTCAAAAAATGAGGAGACATCTATATGACGTGGTATATTAAGCTGCATTTAGACTGGCGGGGTTTGATCTCAATGAATAACCAAAGATACGATTTTTCCGAGGTTTTTTCCTTTCTTAAAAGCAAAGATTTCAGGTTTTGAACGAGGAAACTTGTCAAGGAAACCATGAAAGGTTTGGGGAATTATGCTCTACTCGAATGTTATAAATGCTTTTTCATTTTCTATCATGCACTGCGTCGAGTATTAATATGCTAAAACTACCAACCTCCCCACTTCTTTCCACTCGATGAAGTCGCGGACCAAAATGAACTGGGCGTGGCAGTTACCATGTTCTCTGGTATCCCTGTGCTCATTATCAGGGATGTCTCTTTCTTTAAATTATAAAAGTATTGGGAGGAAATAACCTTCCAGGTCACACCGTCATTGGTGCTTCGGTGAAAGTTCATTTTATGGTCTACTCCAAAGAGCGCTGCATTTGTAGGGTCGAAAGCAATGATACTGACGATGGATTCATCAAGACCTAGTAAATTACATATAAGGAGTTTTAGTTGGCACAGTCAAAAAGCCACAATATTTTGCATCACTATTCAAACGATTGATTCTGCTCAATGAGTGCAACACTGACCCAACATCGAACATCTATTGTCTGGTTCGGAGAGCAAGTGTAATTTTATTTTTTACTCGGATCTCGATATTCCAAGGGACGAGTTCGAGAGAAACATTTTAACACGAGCATTCCCTGAATCATGTTCTTTAGAAGGTCTGCATCTTTTTCTTTTTACTGCTGAATGGAAAAACGTTACAATTTTTGTGATTTCGCCCCCGACTTTGTTTGTCCACGAAAAATTTCACCTCCGCCAAACCATGTTGTCATCACGTTTTCTCCATATAAAAAAATAAAAGAAAAAGTTAAACCAGATGGGACTGAATTAAAAGTAAGCTAGGCGAGGTGATCACCAATTACCCAGTTATAATCTAATTTATCAGTAATGAAGACCTTGAGTGTAACAAAAGGACTTCTTACACACCCATGGCTAAGTCGTTTAGTGACCGCCTGGCCTCTCTTGAATTGACAGGTACTCTGCCGGGGGTTTTATATTTGACAAGAACATCAAAATTCAATGTTCCAGTGCGCTAACCGTTCCAGTGTGCTAACCATTGCTCTCCCTGATAGCTTAACATTACCTGTCCAATCCATTCCGTCACTCGAGGAGAAACAGCTGCTCTCTGATCTAGCAAACAAGAGAATTAATTTGATAACTCATAGAATGAGAACCTCTTCAAAGAGATGTACTCTACCTATTGAAAATCACTTTTTACTCACTTTTGCTCAGTGTACATGCAGACATAAAACCGTCCGGAGTCTGGGTCCAACAGTACGGCCCTCCGAGAGTATTCGTGGACACCTGCCGATAAAAAACGTGTTCGACTAAGTATTGGTTTTTTTAAGAATTGTGAATCCAGCAGGGTCTGAAAAGTCAACTGATAACAGGTTAGGGTTAATGTTGTGCTAGGGGAGGGGTAGGTGGGCTGATAATTTGTATGTTGAAATTAAGGGAGTGAAGGTTCGCATACCACCAAACGGAGGCAACGGTTCAGCCATGCAGCCATACAGCTCAGCTCGCATTACTTTAAGAACTGGAGCGCTGGTGGGAATGAAACGCACATAGCGCGCCGTGAATGGCTCAGATAATTTCACCAGAATCGGATTTTTAGCTTCTTGGCCATTCTTTGGACCATTCAGCTCCTGCAACAGAAAAACGACCAGAATTAGATTGCATGCGGATGTTACATGGCCACACTGAGGTTCAAACTCTTTCCTCAGGTGCTGATGGTGTCTCTGACGAAAATAGTCTCTGCGAACGCGTAAAGGGATATAGGACCCAGACAATATGTTATGTTGATTGATTACAACTTGAAAATCAGAATCAAGGACAAGAGTTGCCATAACACATTCGTCATTTTTGGAACATCGGCAAAATGGCCAAATTCCTGTCGTTTCCCTCTTCAGTGTGTTTTTATCCAGCGTTGTTAGGGACATGGTTATATTTTAAGTACAAGGGAGTTGCGCTCCTTAGTTTCGTTGTGGATTTATTTATTTGGTTGATTGTTGTTGCTTTTATTTTGAAGCCGTCTATCAAGGTGGTCCGGTTTTCCATCTTCCTCAAATAAGAGCAGTCTAATGCAGATCAGAATTTGAATAGCCACAAACAATTAATTTCATTTCACATCGGACCATTTTTTTAACTGCGAATATTCCCATTTCTAACCCCCTACTTACCAGAATTTTCTTACCCCCGAGAATGTGCGACCCCATTCTTGTAACTCTATTAAAAATGTAACCCTGTTGTGGTCAATCCAGTCGTGAAAATGCGAACCCATCCAGCAGCACATCCCCATTAGCCTATAACTAGGAGGTAAACCCCCTCCCCCCCCGCGTGGGATTTTTTCGTCAACTGATTAGCTATATCGTGAGGATTAGAATCTTCAAAAATGAATTCGATAATTTGGTTCCCGTTTAAATTTGAAAGGTCGTTTTATCTTTCTATATCGCCTTTGTGAAAAGGAATCAGATCGTCTTGAAATTTTCAACTTTACCTTAACGATTCCATTTTCTGTATAATCTAACCACTCAATACTGTTGTTACTGAACTTCAGCTGAAAACGTGTTACAAAGAACGAACTTGCCCCCTGCGTCGCCACTCGAGTCACCTTCCGCAATGAGCCAAAGTCAACCTGAAGGGTGGGGGGGAGAAGTGAATTGTTAACATACTCTTTGAAACTGCCAAGTGAAGTAAAACGAAATGTTTTGAGGCAAGGTAAAATTCTATGCCAAACATCGACATTTCACGACTGAGTTGTCATTGGCTTGTTGTGATATGCTCTTTTTACTGGTTAGTCGCTGCGATTTTCTATATTCAGTCTAGTTATATTAGTTATGATCAACCACTAAAGGAGCTCTTGATTGTTAAACGAATTCTCCTTGTCAGCACCTTAGAAAATGTATAGAGATCAGAATGGAGAATTTGCATACTGATTATCGGTTGTAAAGTGTGAAGCTTAATCAAAAGGCGCTCCCCTTACGCTTCACCCCTTTGTATGAGGGTCTCAATGGGGTGATGGCTTTTACGGCTATCGGTTAAAATTTTGGCCAATTTCCGGCTAACGGTTAACACCTTTCCATTGTTTCCACCAGACATATTTTTTACGGTTAACTTTTTTTACGACTAACGGTTAAAATTTGTCAATTTTTACGTCTAACGGCTAAATATTTTGGCCGTTTTACGGCTAACGGTTAACCCCATTGAGACCCTCTTGTATCATGCCATTGCGTCATGTAGTCCGCCCAGTAGGAAATAGGTGTCAACAGCACAATATTTCTTGGACAAATGACATGTTTAGGTGATTTCCGATCTCACCATATAAATGTATAAAATGATCACAAAAAGTACAAGAACTGTTATGTTGTTATAGTCATTTCGATCTTCATTGCTAATTGATGGCTTTGGTATGTTTCTCATCTCAATCTACCATAACATTGTAAAAACAGTTCTAGAATGCTAAACAAACCCTGTTGTAATCTACTACACCTGTAGATAATCCAGTTGCCCCAGTGACGCTTGCCAGCCGTAGGGAAATCCAGGGACGTTCTTGTTCAGGCGGATATCAGTAGGATTTGACACTGTTTGGGAAGTGTCCACACTATGACTTAGACCTTCATCTGGGATATACCCAGACTCCAAACCAAGGGGGTCGATGCAATTTTCTGTAAGAAAGGCAATGATAACGAGGTAGTGGGCTCTGCTGTTACATCAGGTCTTGCAGAATGCCGTTGGACCAAGAGAGTATCAAATTAGGAGACTACCAGATCGTGGAAGCTTAAAACCTAATTCAGTATTGCCTGAACAAACTTACCAGGAGCGCCTTCAATGGGACAGCCGAACACTTCAAATCTCATGCAAACAAGCTTCTGCCAAGCAAGCGGCCTTATGCGGATGCTGTGCGCCTCAATTTCATTTTTCAGGTGGTGAGAAACTGAGGTGGAACTGTCGAAATTCCCAGGGAACTCCTAAATGGAAAACAATTCAAAGCATATCCATACTCAAAAAGAAAACGACTGATCTAGTTTTGTCGTTTATAATTGAGAGAGTAAAAAGAAAAACGTTCTTGTGGCTTTTAAAGTGGAGCTCTATACAGCCCTTTGCCCTGGCGTTCAAAGGGAGGATAATACCAGACAATGGATAAATCGCTTTCTAATGGATAAAAGTAAACAAAACGTATTGCAATTAACACTGGACAGAGAGCTATCCAGTTGTCAACCCTTGATAACTGAGAGTTATTAGCTTTGGTGAGAGAGTTACCAGCGTTATCGATCCTTCGAACAACTGTGGCCTAAAGTTTTTTCGAATATTTCGACATCCATGCATAAGTTGATAACGATGTCATAACCACTAGATAAGTTCGTGAATGAAATCAATCGAGTTCTAGGGGTATTTTGAATGAGTAAGCTCGAGTAAACTTTGCAAGGGACTTAAACAATCGCCCAAACCCATAAGGCCTGTACAATTTTCTAGCCTTTCAAAAAATTCCCAGGGGCTTATTTCGAATTAAACGAAACGTCATTTAAGAACTTGTTAATGTCATACATCCAAGTTAACTTTTGTAGCCTCGATTTCTACCCTCTGCGCTCCTTTGTCATATTTGAAGCACTCTGCACAAATGGACATAATGAGATTTACCGATGTAAATGCACTTTACGCATACGTTGTCCTCTTAAAACTAAACGAAGACGAGTCTTTTCTAACCTTATCAAAGCCATTTTCCGTGTAATTATACCATTCCATATCGTTATTGCTGAACTGAATTAGATATCTCTTGACCCAGTGCTGTTTCTGGCTTCTGCCGTATGTTTCAATTCGTGTCACGCGTGTCTTCTTGGTGAAATCAATCTGAATATATTGCTGGTCATTTGTGATGAAGGCACACCACGCATCGTTGTCTCCGCCTAAACCCGAAAGAAAAGTTCATATAATTAAAACACATAATTTTCTCTCCAAATCTTACTTAGTCATTTGGTGCAAAAGACTTGATTATCCTTCGATGGACAATTGTCTAAAACGATGTTACTAGAAAAGAACACGATGTGATATCAATGATACTATTTCTAGCGATGCTTCAATACCACAACTCAGCGGTGATACATTCATCCTATATAACCTAACATCACCTAATATTCTCGCTCCCCATGTTATGGAAGAGCTGTTTAGTGGTGATCAACTCCTTTATTCTCGTGACTTTTATGTGTGAATTTAAGGGTGATATCTTAAAGAGAAATTAGATGCTAGTCACTCTTAGGGGTCAAAGGGCAAAAATCCGACTCGATATTGTATTTATTATAGCGGAGCTCGCAGAGCGTAGCCCCATAATTATACAAAATGGTAGTAGTAACCCATCAAGCCGAAAAAAAATTTGGACATATGACCGTACGACCGTACGACCGTACGACCGTACAAGGTGCTTCTTTTAACATGCGTGGTCAACTGTACCGCGGGCACGCCAACGCCACGGCTTTTTCCAGTCGTCCAGTGGTCAGTGCACTGGGCTCCGAGTCGGACGACCCGGGTTCTAGTCCTGGCCGGGGCAAGGCGTTGTGCCCTTGAGACGTACGGGAAAAAAATACGAGCTCCGCTTTTAGGCTAAATCTATATATTACGCATGATGTAATACAGTAGGTAACAATGGTTTGGTCCGCATACCTGGCCTGGCTTTGTAGGGCTGCAGATATGAGTATGTAGAAGAGGCCGTCAGTTGATAATCTTTGATTTTACCTGACGCCATCCCCAAGGCGGATTCACACCCTGAAAGAAAGTTGTTCTTTTTTTATCCTTTTTATCCGGTGTCAAATGAATTTAGAAATATATTGGGTTTTTCACCGACACAACCTTAGCTGATGCTTACCTTTTGTAAAAAAATATGTTCATTTGAATGCGAAATTTATTCTGGACTGCAATAGTTTTCTAAGCTACGCGTTGTGATTGGGTTAGAGAGCTCACCCCACACCTTCCCCCCCCTTCGATCCGATACAAAGCTAAAACCAATGGCGACTCGGTCATCTGCCTTTTTTCCTCGCTTCAGACAGTTTGCTTCGTTTAACTCTGAGTCTTTTTAACTAGGTTCCTTCATTACTTTGAATAATTGTTTTGATATCTATGGTTTGGTTTTACGTAACTTATGTGAAACATAATTACAGGTCTTTCCCGATATCCTATCAACAATTGATTTGTATTTTCCTGTAAAACACACTTTGGAAAAACTCTATTTAACCAGTATCTTTTTGCCACATCATTATCAAAATTAATTCACTGATAGAACAACAGCTGATGTCTAAATGTCCAAATAAGGATACACAATATTGTCGTGATTTTGGTGAAATATTTTAAATCCATTCGCACCGGGTATATTGATCTCTATGGTAACTGTTTGGAGGGGACTGGAGAAAGAGGCTCCTTTGGTTATCACGTGACCGTCGTCTGTGTAGTCCTTGTAGTATAGCAAGCCTACTGGGGTTACAATATGATGTCTTCCATTTTTTAGGGAGAAGTCGTTGTCAAATATCACAGTGAAGTTAAGTTTGACTTCTTCCGCCCACAAAATTCGGTCAATCTGAAACAAGAACAGAGAACCCAAGGTGAAGTCTCAATTAAGTGTTTTAAGCTGAATTGGTAAAGTAGGCCTCTTTCGTTCTAAACTTTAACTCCATGGCCCATTTTGTACGATGACATCAATTTGAGAGTATCAAAATTCCCTGAGTGTTGTTACTTCCGCCTGAATATTACTGTTACGTCCCTAGGTCAGGATCAAGACCCGATTCCGAGATCTACCATATTAAGGTCTGTGCCCTCACACTGCCTTTTATGGCAATTTAGCCCATAGAACGACGAAATTATCTCTTGCCGTTACATCACTCGTTGAAAGATGTAACACACAAGAGCGAGTTGGGTCAAAACCACATGGCAGCTCAAAACTTACTTTTAAAGATTGTTACGCGTCTAACTCAAGTGATTAACTAATGGTGAAGCTCTCTGTCAGCTTACCAAGAAGGACACACTGTCGTCTTTCTGCTGAACTTGAAGAGAGCCCATCATTAAAGAAGAGGCCACTTTTTTAAACTTGACAAATGGCGTCAGCATCCAGGTCACATGAACGCCACGTGCGTCTGACCGTGACTCAGCGGAGTGCTTTACTATGAAAGTATATCCATATTCAGATCTGGGGACCGAAACAAACTTCCGTTTCTGTTATGAATGCAAATTATTAAAAAAGAACTGCGGTTAACAAGAACGGCAGTGGTAGAGACATAGCCACTAAGCTAACTCAGTGAAAGGCAGAGTTAATTTCAGTGATTATTTTGAATGAATTACAACAGTTCTACACCCTGACAATATCACTCATGAACAACTATTGATTATTAATTGATTATTAAACAAATTTTCCGTGTTAGCACTCTAGGAAATGCACAGTGTGGAGAATATACATACTGATGTTAGGGTGTAAACGGATAAAGGTTTTTCGATTTCATAGTGGGAATGACATAAGTTCCAGAAAACTTATAGACACACTAGGTACGTTTAAAGAGTAAATCATGATATATAATTTCTTGGAAGTTATCGTCTGCCGTAACAAACGTCAAAGATTGACTCATGTCCAGACTCTTTCTTGCTCTTCTCGGTTCATCAAAGAAGGGAGACCTAGGTACTGAGCTTTTAAATTAACCCTGTGTAACTCATCCACTTACCCGTGTTTCAAGGCCATACTGTTGTTCAGGTTGTGACCGACGGTCATCTGTAGTGCAGGTTCAACCTAAAAACGAAAATACATAAATTTACTTCATGCTCATGGAATACAACTGAGCCAGATGTTAAAAGGCTTCGCTGCCAAATGTATTTTTTCGCTCTACGGGTCTTGCACTAATACTTCGAAGGGATTTTAAGTTTGTCTGTTCGGTCAATCATCTTCATGACGTCGCATCTGTATATACAAAACGCAACAGCGGAATTCTCCAGTCGGCCTCACACTGTTTGCAAGGCTCTTCTGACGTGACGTGGGAAAACTAAGCTGAGAATGATTCGAGAATATCCCGAAAAAGAATTGTAGTAGAATGCATCCCTTAATGGTAATTATCATATGAACACCTCTCAGGGCATAAGGGATGTATGGGAATTGAAAAAAAAAGAGAAAGAATAACAAACAATGAAACAATATCAGCACAACAAGACTGGTTGACCCTTTGACCCCTAAGAGTGACTAGCATCTAATTTCTCCTTAAAGTATCACCCCTGAATCAAACATTATTGTCATGAGAATAAAGGAAATGATCACCAACCGAAAAGCTCTTGATTAATTAACAAATTCTCCTTGTCAGTACGGTAGGAAATGTCTAGAGAACGGTATAGGGAATATACATACCGATATCAGTGTGGAAAGGGTTGAGAGTACTCTAAAAATCATACAAGAAACACGCAAGCGACCTACATTGTTTGACCTTCGTTGTATTCGATGATCCTCAGAACAAACTGCAACATAAAAATTTCGTACAAGATATAAACAGTGGCGTGTGTAGTATACAGTGAAGGCTTTTGTACAAATCCGCAATTGTTAAAAAAATCGCGCTAAAATGCTGCTGTACGAAATAATTTTAAGTTCCCTTCTTGTACTTTCCGTAGATTGATGAGGCTGACATGAACGTAGACGGTTGATTAAAACAAGCTAGAGTATATTTGTAGAGGAAAGACTACATTCCTTGATTTATTATTCACCTTCAGTCTGTCATAACATGCAAGTGTGTGTATAGACAAACTGAGGCTTTCGTCCTTAAATTATTCGTCACAACTAAAACAATAACGGAACAAATGAGAGAAACGTAGAATTGAAGGTGGAAAGTAATATTTACTTGCCACACAAGAACGTGATCAAATGCATGGTCCATCGAAGAAGGCGCGCAGTTACTAGTGATTACTATTCCAAAAATTGCCGAAAAAAATAAAGATATGGGTTTCTTTTCACTATTTTATACGATTAAGGCTCATGAAAATTAATAAAGTATCGATTTTGAAGCGTGTTCATCATGTTGAAACTCGGTGATCACCCTTTTTCACTTTTGAACCTGCCTTGTTATCACACTTGGGTGTTTCCAGTGAAAATCTTCTAAACTTACATGGAGCTTTTTTGTATATGTTACTAAAGGCCTTTAAAGAGTCACATTTACCTGAGTGAAAAAGATTTAGCCAAAAGAAAATAAAACAAATTGCTTTAGCTTCTTTCATGGCTTCTTCATTCGTCTTTCTTCAACGTTCCTTCTACTTCAAGATGTTCACCGATAAACAATGAAATATTCACCGAGTATTAAACTTAGAGATAGCATATCATTGTTTTCACCTAAATTTAACAATGAAATTTAAAGTAGTGGTGATAATTGATAAAGCACTTTATAATTGATAACAGCTTGTCTGAGGAATGTTTTCGTGTCGACGATGTTGATGTATGTAAATTCGAGCGCCTCGCTATGCGAGAGATGATTCCTTGTAACCAAACATCTTTCTGTCTATTCCGTTAACCTGTAAGTAATAAAAAGGTCGGTATTGCGGAAAGAAAACTGTAGAAATGATGATGTATGAAGCACACTTAAGTTTTAAGAATTCAGCAGCCAATTATCCAAAATGCATGTCAGCCAGAAGTGCTAATAAGAGTTGATAATAGTTTTTAAATCTTCAACATCAACGGAACTGTACAAAGTAAATGGATGGAGGAGATTAAAAATTAACTAAGTACTCCATTGATAACTGTATCAGTCGGACCAATGGAAAAACCGTGTAATAAAATCCTACTTTATCTCGAAAATTCGCGAGGATAATGCAACAGATTGAGGAAACAAATCCAACCTCCTCATCAATAAACAATTATAAAATAAGGATGTAACTGCGATGAGTAAACACTTCATTGCCGCCTACATCAACACAACTGGAAGAAGATAAAGTGTGATTTGAAACGGTCTAATGGATGATGGGAACAGCATGTTTCCAAAAGGTGTAATGTAGGGTGTTGATAAACTCATTTTTTTCTTACACACCATTAAAACATGTTTAATTAGAACACGTAAGTTTAACTGAATGAAAATCCGAAAATTTGAAATGGAAACTAAATTTTCCATAAGATGCAAGTGGTCATTAACTTTTATTCTCATTGCGCCAAATTTGAAGTCGAAAAACACCGATCAAAGCAGCTTTTAGAAAGAAAATATTTTTTTTTAACAAAAAAGCTTTAAAACATGCGTAAGTTTTGGTGTGAATAGGGTATTAGTCTGAATATCGAATAGTTGGATATTCAGTAGTTAGTTAGGAAAAAAAGGGTGATATTTCTTAGTCAGTGGTTGGAATGTGAAGAAACAAAAGAAAAAACGGGTGCCGATGAAAGACCTTAAGAAGCTTAGCGAATTGTGAGAACTATTTCCTTTGCATGATGTTAACTTGACAGAACGTGAAAGCAGGGCGAAATAAGAAATGGGGATCAAGACTATAGACGAAAAACTTAGTAAGAAAAGAACGCGAAATTCAACTCAGAGGGACCGTTTAAATAAAGGAATATGCAACCCGAACACGGCAGGGAACGTAAAATATCATCATCAACAACACAACAACATTGATTCATATGCAACAATTTTATTTCTTATCTTAGCAGTCATCTGATCATTACCGCAAGTCGTACTTAAATACAAAACTCCTTATTAATTTCAAACTAAGCAGAGGTTTTCTCACTAAAATTCAAGAAATTTACCTGCAGTT